TCTTTACTCACATGCTCACTACATGGTTTTCTCAGCATCCTTCTGTAGAACCACATTTCTGTCTCACCTTACGTTTTCTCTTCATTTGTGACAAGACTGTCTAGGATTCACTGCCATATAATTGGACCAATATTACATAAGAGTTTAGCACTCTTTTCTTTGTTTTTAATTAAATTTTCCTGTTTCTTAAAAATTTGTTTAGCTTTTGGAATACTTCTTTTAATATTCCATTTCATCAGATTTCAGCATTACATTTTCTGACCTCTATGGAACATTTTTTAGATATTAAAATTTTTGAACTTGCTTGATTTCAACATCCCAATTCATACTTTACATCTTGGGCTGCACCCTTTTGCTTACACCCATACATTCTATCTTTTTTTCCTTCCTTTTACTACCTTCTGTAAGTATTCCCAGAGTTTTTTTTTTTTTTCTGTGCCATCTTACATTATCATTATTAAGACTACGTCTACCAATAATGAATCCTGGTAGGATTTCCCATTCTCTCAGGATTCACTTCACTGTAAAGGTTGAATAAGATACATCCTTATGAAGATTCATATTTTTTTGTCTGAATTTCTGGGATAAGGAGTCATTATTTACATTATTGTTATGGAGTGATTTCACAGTGGAGGCTTGTATTTGTACTAGGTCGGTCCTAAAATAGGTTCGACGTACAAAACGTTAGGAACTTGATATAATAGGTATAACGCAGAGTAATCTAGTTGTGGTTGCTGATACTTTAGTATTCAACTAACTGTCATCCGATATCGACTGACTCACCAACTCACTGAGCGACTGACTCTGTTACTCTTACTACTCCTACTTATTATAGGTGGGAGAGTCTATTAACTATAGAATAGGTGTGTTCCACTATAACAACTATTTATATTCAGACAATTGTCCTCATGTTTGTTGCTGTTGTCACAATGTTTCAGCCATTGTGCCCTCAGGTTTTCCTCAGTTGTATACTGATCTGGATAACCTACCCGGAATTCTGAACTGAGACCTTTATTTAATCTCTGGGGATAGACTTTTCTTGTTCCACTTCTCACATCTAGAGATTTTTTTTTTTTTTTCTTTTTACAGTGAGGGCCAAACTGTACAAGGCCCAGTTGCCACTCAAGGTAGAGGGTTACAAAGTAATAAATAGTTTATATGGATAGAAGAGGAAGATAACAGTTAACCCTAGACTTGAACAGGTTGAGATTGTAGTGATCACAGACACATCCTCTTGGGAGTTGGTTCCACAGAGCAATGGTTCATGGGAAGAAGCTGTTTGAGTGGAACTTACTGCTCACCAATGGGATACAGGGGGAATGAGGGTGGTTTGCTACAATGGGAGTGGCATAGTAAGTCCGAGCTGTGATGGTTAGAACTGATAGAACCAAGGGACACAGTTTGTCCAAGCACTTTCCATGAAAGTAGAAAAGTGATAGACTTGCCACAACCGGTCTGTGAGAAATGGGGGTTTGCAGTGTGGGAAATAATTTGTTGCCCACATGGACATGGAGATGCTTTTGAACTATTGAAACAGGAAAGTGAGGACTGGACAGCTCCTGCCCATATATGACAACAGTCCTCCATTTTAGGCCTGATCTAGCTCTTGTATAGGTAGAGAATAGCAAGAAGAGTTAAGTACTGACTGGAACGGTACAAGGAACTGATCATTTTTCCTGCATCTTTAGTGATGGATCATATGTCAGGGGTGAGTTTAATACCCATTAGTCTCTCAAAGCATGGAGCCTCATCAAGGAGACATCCATTTATCATAACAGATGGTGGGTCAGGGTCCAATCAGTGATCATTGAATGTAACTAGTTTGATTTTTATTATTTTATTTAATAGTGTTCAGTTATTGCTCACCCAAACATGAGCAACAGCAGTCAAAACACTATAGCCAGCAGCAGCAGTTGCAACCTAATCAGCAGCCAGATTAAGTTTAAGGCTCTATGTTTACTATAGCAAACTGTCCTCATGGGTAAAAGCATTGGTTTGTAAATTTCGTGACATAGTGATTATGAGTTCAATCACAGGGTTGGGCAGTGTGTACTTACACTCAGTGAAAACAGACAAGCAGTAACCGAACAGTACTAAATAAAATAAGAACTAGATGATAGTATGGACAACTATTATCCTGAACTGAGCAATAAAATCAAAGTTGGAGACGAAAAATAATTTTTTTTATAAACACTAAAACTAAAAAATGCAGATAATTATAGGATTTTATAGCAATTTTTACAAAGTATTTGGTAATACAGGTTTTTTTTTTTTAAATTTTCTAAAAAATGATTTTCGATTTATCATTGAATTAAAATCTACCTGTACATCCACAAACATACATATACACAGACACACATTTTGAATGAAATTGAAATGGCCATCTATGTTGTGAAGATTAATTTCCTTTTCTGTCTGGCAACAATCTGTGGACAACAGGAAAATATTATAAGCCAAAATGTGTAGCTTCTTGAAGTCAATTTTATGACTCCTTCTGCACTTAAACTGAACATATATTATACGGAATATTTTCAATGGGCAACATAACTCTGAAATTTTATTATCTTGCCATCAGCAAAGTAACACCTGCTGAACTAGTGAATTTTCAAAAATCCACATACTCAATACTCCTGTTATCTCTCCTCAGTCAAAATAATAGCAAAACCAATTGCTATAGGTTTAGAAATACATCTTTAAGAATACCATGGCTACATTATCATTGATGTTGCCCTGAGTCCCTTAGCCATTTCGGGCTTATTAAACATCATACTCCTTTACTCAGGTTAGCCTGCTGTTGGTGTTTAAATACCAACATGCAACAAGCCGTGTGAAAATATTAATTGCAGAATGCAAATGGCTTGAAGAGAGATTTGGGAACCCTAAAAACCCACAAATCAGCTTTCCACCAATCAAATTTGTCCATGGGCACTCGACCCCCATAAAAAGGGAGAACCCAAAATCCAGGCTTCCCTAATCCATAAATGGAGCGGACAAGCTGACAGGCAAATTTTGGCAACCAGATCATACAACTAGTAAGTTTCTTCAGTCTAAGAAAAAAAAAAAAAAAATGATATATTCCTGTATACACACAAAAATGCTATGCTCATTTATTCACAGAGTTATAATCAGCAAGCTTCTCTCACAAGCCATTGCCAATGAGTTTGCAATCCAGGAATCATATCTTTTACCAAAACCAGCTTTGTCTTATAAAGACTTAACAGGTATCTACTATCTACAAGAAGCACTTGGTATTTTCAATAAATATCTGTAGATAGTCTTCAGGTAAGAGAGCGAGAAGGAAAGCAAGAAATTTAAGTATGCCATAGAGAATAAAAATATATTGCGAGGATGTGTGTATGGGGGGTGGGAATAGAATTTGTTGATCATAAAAAAACTAATAAAAATTGCCTATTATGAATATATTTATTGAAAAGATGTTAAGAAAAAAAAAATCAAGAAAACTGAAGACAAATCTCCAAGAAAAAAGAATCAAATAGAAATACAATCAGTCAAGTCTGGACCGACTGTTAGTGTTATGGTCAATGTTCAATACATCAAAAGAGATGCAAAAAGGCTAAACAGACATGTCTGCCAAAAAGAAGCAAATTTTTTTTGAATTATTTCAAAGCATAGTCTCCATAGTGGTTGAATATTTTCACCAACCATATATATGTGACTTTATGAGTGATACAATAAAAACTTAGAAACAAAGCAATTATTTTCTCTTTATTCAAAAGAAAGTCATTTTCTTCATAAACAACAGTGATAATTCAACTCAATAACCAAATTCCCAGCATTCCCTAGTTTCCTATGACTTTACAATACCTTTCAGTTAGACTGTATTTTCCAACATAAAAGAAAACGTTTGAATTCAAAGAATCTTTCAAAATCTTAATATTGCTGAAATGGCTGATCAGACAAGGAATGTTACAGGGAGTGAAATGAGATTTAAAGAATGATTCTATTTCTCATTCCATTTCCATAATTGTTGCACCACATTTGTAACATTAGGATTGCCATTGCCATATAAAATCACTAGTTAATTCCTTCATCTAATCAAAAGTTTTGCACCAATGGATCATTCAAACAGGTTAATTGATCACTGTAATGTTGTACATAGTAACAGCTTATGTAGTTACTAGAAATTCAGAAAGAATTTCCTTTGAATCCCAGAAAACAAAAGAACTTCCCATCAGATTTTGTTTAGGTTGAAATGTGGAAGACAACATGGCATCTGACTCAGTTTTTCTGGATTTCAGATTTTTATAATATATCCATTTTTCTTAATTTCTATAAATTAATTGTGAACTCATATTTACAGCTTTTGAATTTTTTCTATGCATTGTAAGATACAGTTGATTGATTGCCAAAGCAATAAAAAGGTGAATAAACTTTGAAGATAATTTTTTCTCACCTTGAGCAAAAGATGTTAGCGGGAACTTCTGTCTCAAAGAAATACATGGAAATCAGAAGAGTTCATGATGCAACTTCCAGGATCAATTGGTCTGTCAAACATCAATTGCCAATCTTCTGTCTTTTTGAAACCTGTTCATCTTTTGTCCTTTCCTCAATCCTCCCTATTCTGTTTTCTTTCACATTTTTTAACCCCCTGCATACAAGTGGCATTCTGCTTTGCTTAAGGTGAAATGATTACAAAACCAAAAAAATACACCAATCATATTTTCACAAATCTTTTATGTACCATGTCCCTTGAGGACATGGGCAGTCATGGCTTACCACAACTTATGAATCAATCGATCAATCAATTTGGTTTTTACAGCTTATCAATTTTTTGCAGGTTATTTAAAGCCAGAGAATATATTTTTGATTGTAACAATTTTTTGGGAAGATAATGATTTACTGATATAAGTCCCACTAATTAACCCACAGCTGGGGAGAGAAGAAGTGGATTTATACCTATGCGAAGGATATAAAGGAATATAATGAACCCAAATGGGATCGGAACTTGGCTGAGCCATTATCCATTACCCATCTAAGCATATAGCACCTGGTATTCCAAAGAAGTCACTCATCGAGATACTGACCAGGCTTGACATTGCTTAACTTCAGTGATTATACAGGAACAGGTGTTTCAACACTGATGTGGACATAAACCAGGACAAAATAGGAAAACTTAGCATAATGGTCAGAACTTTGACAGCCTGAACTGAGTAGACATCATGGCTTTAACTTCATGGACATAGATTTCTGGTGGTGATATCGTTTTTGCTTAAATTTTTAATATAAGAACAAAAAAATGGTCAAGACAGTAGAGTTGCAAAAATAGGAGAATGAAGACATCTTGCTGGTTGTAGATACCCATGCGGTGATGGCAAATCATTAGTCAAACAGTTGGGGTTCATTTTCTCTCTATATCTCATCCTCCAAGAAACAATATTACTACTACTGTGTTTACTACATTGAAATAAAGCAAGGAAAAAAAAATAAGAATTGTCTGTGTGTCACAATGCCTAAAGAATTGCTGACAGATCACGAAAATCCAGAGATAACATGAAACTCAACAGCATCTCTAAGCAATATTTGTCAATTTACTATCTCCCTGAGACCCTGTTCTGCCATTCATTTACACAAACTCATTAGGTAGTAGGTTAATCATGGCCCTCCACAACATCCTATACGTCATAGCTCTAAGCAGTATGACTCCTTACTATGCCTCTCAGCCCATTCTGCCATCCATTTTCCCACAAGCTCGTTGATAATGGCTCTCCACAACTTCCTATTCTTAGTAGCTCTAAGCAATGGTGTCCACTTACTATCCATCCCTGTCCTGCCATCCATTTACACAAGTTCATTAGGTAGGTTACTTGTTTTCTTCTGCTTTGCCTTCAACATATTTAGTGAGTGTCAAATTCTCCAAACCCTCTTTCCTCTTTATGCATTCCAGAAATTTTCTACTGTCTTTTTTCTGATTCTATGACCAAGTGTCTTTTTGATTTCCATTTTTCTTAGAATTTCCTTGTTGTGCACATGCTCTGTCTATGGTATTCTCAGAATCCTTCCGCAGAACCACATCTCCGTTTCCCTAAATCACCTCTATATCTGTCAGGAATAGGGAAATTGTCCCACATTCACTGCTATATAGGAGGAGTGATATTACATGACAGTTCAGTGCTCTTCTAGTGAATTTTATCTGAATTTTGAAGGTCAGGGTTTATGGGGCAGATTTACAAATCCTAACTGCTACTTTTGCAGAGAGATAGAAAAAAGTAAAACTACTGAATTTGGATTTTCTTTTTCCAAGACTTGTCTCTTGAGCCTTGGTTGGCAACCAGTCTATCTAGCTATTAATCTAAAGATGAATTCAAATTCCAACTTTGTGTTAATATTTTTTTGAATGACATGAATCCAACTCTCCTACTATTAAATCCAACTATGAGTAAAATAGTAAGGCTGGGTGAGCTCTCCAGCCTTGGTAGGGTAACTTTAAATTTAATACTATAGAGAAGCTGACAATAAACCATTCTACTACCTTCCCCAAGAAAAGTCAGCATAAAGCATGATTAACAGATGTGATAAAAAGACAAAAAAAAACAAAAAAACTGGTGACCTATGACTATGCCATAAAATGATAAGACACTTTAGGAGGAGGAAAATTATTCAAGTTTCTAATCAACTCTAAGGTAATAACCACATTTGCTGCCAAGGTTGACAATGGGTGTAATAAAATTTTTTAGTTGTATAAACAGTTTCTGTAATGGTTATTTATTTTAAACAAAGGCAGTTAGCCAGACTGATCATTATTACTTGTTGGACATAATATGGATAGCTATAAAGTTATGACTTAAGGACTTTCAATAGCAGCAAGTACTAAAACGGATAGCTAAAAAGCAAAATAATGACAGAATCAAGATGTTGACATTGCACACGACCTTAAACAAAAGATGAGGGCGAAAATTCCCATAAATACTGGAAAGAGCAACAACAGTGGACTTGAGAAGCCCAAATTTTTTTCCAGAAAAATGGTATTAACAGAAAGATTTATGGATTTCAACTGGTAGAAATGCCCATTGTTTGGTCATTGAATGTGCAATGTTTCCTCAATAGAAAACTCTAATTTCACCATTATGAAGCCAGTTGGTTTCAATGCATATCTCGCAACTAAGCCTAAATTCCATGTTTCATACAAAACTGATAAGTACATTGTAAATTTAAATGTAAATTGTATTGTATTTCATGCACACACAAAAAGCATTTTTCTTTGGTACTTCTAGAAGAATGGTTTGCTAAATTTTCTGCCTTTTTTTTTTTTAAAAACAATGTTATCTACTCTGTACAAATCCCAATAGCCACTCAAGGTAGACGATTACAGATTAACAGGCATAGTTTCGGGGCATATGTGGGGAAGATAATAGTTAACCCTAGACTTAAACAGATTAAGATTGTAGAGAATCAGGAAGCATCATCTTGGGAGTCAGTTCCACAAAGCAGCAGTTTTATGCGAAGAAACTGCTTAAGAGGAACTTACATCTCACTAATGGAATCCAAAGGGAATGAGGATGGTTGGCTACAATGTGTGTCACATGGCAGATCTTAGCTATGAAGGTCAGAACAAATGTATGTCGTTCATTTGAATACTTTCCATGAAAATAGTTTTTGAGCAATAAGAAACTTGCAATCTTTCATCTATGGGAAAGGTGTTGTAGGGTGGAAAATAATTCATTACCCACAAGGATGCAGAAATGCTTTAGAACTATCAAGACTGAAAAGTGAAGACTGTGCAGCTCCTGCCCATATATGGTAGCAGTACTACATTTTTGCCTGATCTGGAACCTGTAAAGGTAGAGGATAGCAGGAGGACTCAGGCACATCCCTGAATGGTAAAGGAAACTGACAATGTTTTCAGTATCTTCAGCAATGGACCACATGTAAGAGCTCCAACTGGCTTCTCCAAATATTGTGACATGCCAGTAATAAGGCATTTTTTGTCAAGATATATGATTGCAGATGGATCAGGGAGAAATTAATTCATGCCTTTTCCATTACAAGCATATTACTTGTAAGTGAATAACAAGCTGCTTTTAGTTGAATTTGAGTTGTTTGTCTATTCTGTTTTCCATGCTGATAAACATGAGGCTACCTTGCACTTTTTAATACAAGTGATGCATGATAGGCCTGCACAAAAGTTTAAAAAACAATTGATTAAATTGTTTGACTTTTTCTTTTATGTGACTTGACTGTTTTTAGGACCAACTTATTTTTATAATTTAGGTTTATACAGAATCAAAATCCATTCTCATTCCAGTAGAAAAGAAGGTTTTGCACAAGAATTACATTTCAGATTATCAATTCAAAGTGGTTAGCCATTTTGAAATGTGACCATCTTGATTGATAGAATGCAATTACTAGTTAGCTATTGACTAAGAAAACTATATAACTGAACCCGCTTACTAGACAATTATCAAACCAAACTATGTTATTCAACTCACTACTTATAGTCTCACCTGTGTATGATTGAAGAATCTAGCAAAGAGCTTGTTACCATCCCATACTATTTATTCAATTGTCCATCTTATTGATATTGGGATAAGGTTACCCATTTTGATGCAACAACCCCCAGACATACCTACAACTGCAGAACACTTGACAAATTGTTAAGTGTACCAAGTGACAGATATGAATAGACAAACACTTGGAGGGGGCATTTTTGCAAAGCCATAGCATGGAAATAAGTGTGAGAAAGGCCAAATTGATAGCCAACAGTACCAATAGAATCAATATTAATATTAATCTCTATGAATAAAAGCAGAAAATGTACATGGCTTCAAATGTCTTGAAATACATCTGTCATATCATTAGTTTTTCAGGTTACCCCATTGTTTTATTAGCAAGTCTTGGTTTCCCGTGGCTGAGATAGATAAGTTCATTGTTGACAAATAAATATCTATTATATCCAATCTTACAAAATGGCTAGGCACTTTGAACTGATAGTCAGATATTTAATCTTTATAGAAGAACACACTTTGTATTTGAATAGGAATTGATTTGGTGTCCCTTAATTATGAAAAAGAGGTTTTACAAAAAAAAAAAAAACCAGTTAAATCACTTAAAAAAATGAATAAAGTCAATAGAAAAATTTTCATCCAGTTATACCTTGTGAAAGACTTATGTATCACTTGTATTAGAAAGTTTAAAGTAGCCTTGTGATTATAAGCATAGCAAACAGTTCAAATACTAGCAAGGGAAACTTGTATTCACTGCACAAAGAATTTTTCCAAGCTTGGAAAAACGGATTTCTTTCTTACTGCAAAACCTGATACACTGCCAAAGAAAAAAAAAAAATATATACATACTTACTGGCATATCACAATATTTGAATTTGGTGAATGAATAGAAACTTTGGCAAATTCTGACAAAATGTCTCAAGTAAAAATAGTTATCAGGTATATATAAAATCTACTAGTAAAAAAGAATTCTCTTACTGCTATATTTGTACAAAAACGCAGAACCTTAAAATTTAAATTCAAACTCAGCGTTGCGACCACACGTTCCAAAACAATAACACATAGCATTTTTTCGGATTACATCTCTATTTTCGTTGTCCTCTTATTACTGAGAAGTAAAAACAAGAACAAAATCTACTTCCATACCTAGGAACAGACGAAAGCTTGTAAAAATTAAAAAGACCTTATGCAACTGGAATTTATAAACGGGGATCATATCATTCATATACAGGTTCAGGGTTGATGTATCTTATTTATATTGTTTGCGATGAAGTATTCTCGCCATTTAAATCATTAACCTCTATATTTGTTTTTTGTATGAATGATTCATGAATTTATATATATATATATATATATATACACACACACACACAGAGACACAGAGTCCATTTGAATTTATACAAATCATATAAACCTCAATAACTTGATTTGCTTTAAATGATTTGTTCAAACAAAACTTGAGATAAATTATTACACAGTTGCAACATGTTTTATTAAAGAGTAATGGATTTATTATAAATTTGAGTTATGTTTATGTGATTTACATACTTATATATATATATGAATAATGAGTAATGTATGTATAGAAGCATTTAAACAAATTTTGATTTACTTTAATAACTATGAACCTTTTCTCATCTAGTAATTTG